TAGAAGGAATACCACAACACATCATATTTTGTGATACAATAATTCTAAATTGGCCATAAGAGTCCAGCCATCTCCCAGCCCCCCCCCCCCCTCTCCCGTTGCGAGAATCATGTATTCACCGTTGGAGGCCCTCACGATTTCAGCCGAGCTTACGATTCTGCTTGACTATCTTCTTATTCAAATTCACTTAGACACAGGCTTCATCTCACGGCGTATGCCATCCACCAGTAGTTAAGTGAGTACCGAGTAACTCGGAGCGTAAGATTCACGACGCAACGAGGAAAGAAAGCAGACAAAGTCAGATGTCAATGTGATGTAATCCAGATCTGTATTTCATCGTCATGTCACACGTCACATCACGTAAAACATGATAATTACATGGCAATCTGTAATGAGGCAGACGAGGAGACCACTGACGTATGCAACAGCATGCTTCTGTACAAGAAAATGCACCGTGGAGAGGATCGAACAAACAAAGGCTTAACAGGGACAAAGTTTCTCGTGTCGCCACACATGTCGGCCGCAGACGTGGGCGAACAAATGATTCGCCTCTAAAATCCTCGAGAACGGAATATACATTACGGCACGTCTAAGTGTATAAATATATATATATATATAGATATATATAAATGTCAAAATATGTCTGTGGCTAAGTTTATACAGCAATCTGTTGGTTTACGTATACTGAGCAATCACAACTGTTTTCGTGTCGTATTCAGAAAGCGTTTTGTTGTTGTTTTAGTTACCGTTATCTCTATCTTCTTCTGGGCAGAATACTCGTAACTCGAGGCTATTTTGGCTTGTCAGCTTGATACGTATACTGGTAGTACATACACGTATATCCCGCATAAATATACGAGCGAAAAGAAACAGTAGCACACATTGCCGAAGTCGTAACATAAAAAGATGCGTGCACGTGAAATTTAAGTATATCTAACGAAAGGAGAGACGACCTCAGTGACTTGAATGTTAAAAGATGACGATGCTCGAAATATCCACCACTATGGAAGCTAAAAATTACGCATAATTTCTTGTTGTCTTCGCCACAAAGAACAATGCTCCATTGAATAACACGTTATAAAAGAAGTTTCAGTAACCCATGCATTAGAGACAATCCCATTAGAACTAAGTATCAAATTTACACCATTGACTATGTGGGCTAGGCGAGAGAGACAACAGTGAACTAAGTTCTGGAGACGTGTGCTTTTATGACCTAAGACGTTAAGACGTAAGTGCATACTTTTCTTTCTAAATGGTGTTAATACTTGACAGTTTGAGATTGCATGTCTCTCTATCACACAAGTATTTTTAATTTTTCTTACTTATCACAGCGATTATCAAAAATGATGTGTTAGGTACCACTTCACAAGCATTTTTATCCCGTTAGTCTTACTTTTGTGTAATTTAGAAAGAGCAATGACAAAAATTTGTCAAATCGGCGCTATAAGTGAAATTCTCATATGAAGGAAAACGGATAAAACATTTATTTCGGGCAGCGATAATTTCAGGCCCATGTGCAACAGCGGAGGAAGAAGGTTAACCAATCATCTTCCGCCATCAAGCCTATACGCAAAATTAAAAATAGATAGCGAAAATACACGAAGAAAAAAAGTTAAAATAGTGGTATGATAACCAAGAATTCTTAACTATTTTGACAATATGATGACAAAATGAAAGTGGATGTACGGGCATGAAGAACTCCGCTGAGAAAATACGTTTTAGATATCAGATGTTATTTACATTTGATTCTTTCATATCCCTCCCGATACTGTTGCAATAAGTCACGATGGAGCCCAAGTCGGTGAAAGTAACTGCGAAGGGGAATATTCTCCTGGTGAGCTATATAATGGCAGGCTACGTTCTCATGAGAGACCTATAAAAAACAGCTCAGATTATCATTCTTAGATATCGCAACAAATTCCCCTCTAAAGTCTGCTCACAATGACCCTCTATTTTTTAAAGAAAAGTGTTTTCTCTCTAAACTAAATAGTGTATGCACCTAGCCTCCAAATGCGATGAAAAGACTAACTTAAACTTGTACTAGGGATTCTATTGCACACAACCCCCCCCCCCCCCCCCCAACCCCCGAATTTAAATCAACATTCCTTAATGGTGGATAATTCGAGAAACGTTGTGGCGCCATCAGTACGGAATGTTTGAGAATACAGGCACACATTTTAAACCCACAAGAAGGCATTATCATTTCCCAACCAGGTGTAAGTACGTATAGCTGGTAATGAACATTTATTTGGCAATAAAAACGACCCATCGAGCGACGTACGCAGGGATACTCATAATAAATGTTTCCTCAGTGTCCCGACATAGAAAAACAATGAAAGTTGTATTCTCATCAGACTTTTGGCATAGCAATACAGGAGCCTAAACTCGCATCACAATATGAATACTTGAATCTCATAATTGATTCCTTCTACGCTCTATTCTGAAAGTCAGGTACGACCTTCCATACAAGAGAATCTAATGCATTGCCTGACGAGTACGTATAATGAGGCATTGTAATAGTAAATACTTAATATGGTTGTGCAGTTTTGAATTCAAGTAAATGTTAAGAACCCTAAATCTTCACTTCGAAGGAAATGGCGACAATACTATAATCATTTCGTTCCTTGCTTCGGATGATAGTTTCAATCCCCGCTTTCAAGACAGCCTTCCCCAGATTATCCTAAGTGTACTCTAATCCGACCCCTTTGGTTTCCAAGAAAAAACCCTCCGTCAGAAGCTTTAAACACTCTAATACGACAAATCGCTATACAAATCTTTCAGGTCGGGCCGACTCGTTTAATGAACACATCAAACATCCAACAAAGGAAATGATGTGCGCATATCGGAAAACCTACTAGAGGCTAACAGCTTTGTTTTGTGAAGCAATTTAGTGCAAGGTTCGTGGCAATTACTGTACGGCTGCACATACCCTTTTCAGAGCTACAAGTAAAATTTTTCAGTATGCCCTACATAACTGCTGAACGCGTAAACTTTCCAATCGCAGTATTCTCTGTGTAACAAAACTCGTCAAGTAATAGGAAAATAATCGTTTCATGAGAGCAGACAAATTAGCAGAAGTGACGGTGTAGCACCATTTTAGCCTCAGGTATGAATCTCGTAAAAAAGCTTCTGACGAAAGAATCTTCTTGAATTGAGTGGCATGTAACATTGTGTGTTCGTGCTTGCTGCATAAATGACGGAGTCACCAAAGAAACAACGACTACACTAGACGACGCACAATGACAGGAGGTGCACACACATTAAAAAAACAAGAGTTTGTTGCAAGACTCGATTATGAGGATCCTAACGTATATACGGTCACGTAAAGTTCACTTTCCAAACGGTTCTTAAGTGTTATCTACATCATTTCAAACAGTTCACAGGCGCAACAGGGGCGAATAGCAGAGGACCTCAAAAATTACCAGGAGGTCCGAGATTCAGGCCTGCATGGCGTACACAATTCGCAACACGTTGACTTCCTCATGCCACTTCTTTGGCGATACAGCGCACACTGCGTGTCTCAAGAAATTACCTCGTAAACTAAACACGCACATCAATCGCCGAACTTCCCTATAACCGCTAAAGACTGCGTCCGTAACCGCACGTGTCTGACCACCCGCAGTGGCAGCCAGTGTCTTTGTCCTCGTTTCCCTCGGGCAGCGACAGGGTGTAAAAAATTGTTCGCTTACGTCGTGCCTTATACGGTCGATCAAACGACATGTAAATACGTACGTCCTACAGGAAGAGCCTATAAATACTGCTCGAGGTGGCTATTAACTGTAGGCCAGAGGAAGTGTCACGTATACCTTAGGCGATTTCATTTACGTATATCGATGGCGAGGGATGGAATTCGTTAGAACATCCACATCGAAAAGTGCTTCCAGCTCATTAACAATTCAAATGATTTAGGAAAGAAGATTCTCGTTAGCACTCTCTATAATTACAGTCGACGCATTTTGAGATAATATTTGCACATGACTAAAAGTTCGAAATTAAAAAAAAAATATATGACCGTTTTTTTGTTGAGAGAGAGAGAGTTGAATCAAAGACATTCAAAGTAATGGTACGAAACAAAACTATCGTCAAAAATGAAATGATCCAATATTTCATGACTACGAATTGCGGTGGTTTTCTGTCGTGATCATGAAGTAATAAAATAAAAAGAGATCATACCCATCACAACACAGTCAAGGACACAGTCCTCTTTTACCCACGTGGAAAAAAAAAGTTGGAACATTTGCTGTAGAAAAGTTCACTTGCAGAGAACGCACACCATTTTCCTCTCACGTATTTCGGCTTTAAACAACGCACCATCAAACACACTAGCACTTCACGGGTCATGACAGAGTTCGTAAAATCATTAGAGCACACACACACAAAAGAAGAACACAACAAGCGAAGGAAAACAAGTAAGAAAGTGTCAATCCGACAACGTGCTGCTTTTGTAGGACTGTCCTTCTTCATCCAGGGGTGACATTGCAGTCATGCCACGGTGATTGTTTCGCGAACTTGCGTACAGAACGCGCGCAAGAGTTCCACAAGATCTTTGATGTCGCAGTGTCTCTTCGCGCACCACCAAAAAAACAAACAAAGAAACAGCGCGTTCCTTTCGGAGGAAACGGACGCACCAAGAGAAAACGCACTGACCGCTTTCCCAGTGCCACGCTACCGCCGACGTCGGCTCACTCGCGCACCAGAAAACTAAATCAACGGACACAGAGCCTCTTCTTCCCGCGTCTACCTTTCGCGCACGCTTCACGACGACGTTGCCGCCTGCTCGACGCGAAACGGCTTCCTAAAGTATCGACCACGCGCACTATCGAGCCTGCCTGGCACGGACCGCCGCAAGCAGGACAGCGGATGAGGACAGACGGGCCGAACCGTGGCGAACTAAGATCTCGCGCGAGTGTGTCTGCTTGCCGTACAGTAGTTATGGGCCGCTGTGACGGTCCGTGTTTCCCTCCAGGTGGAGCCCGGAGGGGGCGGAGACCGGTTGGATCTTACGTTTTGGAGTCGGCCGAGGGCTGCGATGCGGACGCCGCCTGCTGCGCCTTGGCCGCCTGGGCTTGCCGCTCCTGCTCGTTGAGCTCCTTGATGGCTTGGATCTCCTTCTTGAGCTTCATGCGCCGGTTTTGGAACCAGATCTTGATCTGGCGCTCGGTCAGGCACAGCGCGTGGGCCATCTCGATCCTCCGCCGTCGGGTCAGGTAGTGGTTCGTGTGGAACTCCTTTTCCAGCTCCAAGGTCTGGTAGCGGGTGTACGTCTGGCGTCCTCGGCGACGCAGTCCGCTCGCACCTGCGAAGGCAAGTCGCGAGGTTAGTTCCACCGAGTGTTGAAAGAAAACTGCATGCGTGAGTGAATAATGTACGCCCTTGTACGAACACTGTGCAGACGGCATTGGGTCGGCGGAAAGATCACACGACAACTAGTGTTTGTAAAGATTGAACGCAGTGTCAAACAAATGACCAATCCTATAGCTACCTTGCCGATAGTCTCCATCCACTTACGATTTAAACGTACGATTAATTTGGTGACTCCACAGGTTCATTATTTGCACTATCTCTCAGTAAGTAAATAACGAGTATATTAACCGCTGTCGGAAATCCTCATAACCTAGGTGCCTAATATACCACCGTAGCAAACAAATCGGTCCGATTTAGTTGCGGCGTCGATCACCGAACCGATGAATACTGCGAGCAAGTGTTCCAACATACGTCTTTGGCGCATTGAAACGCGAAGAGGCACACGCCAATCAAAGGGCAGCGTAGAGAGCGCACAGTGAACGCTCGATGACGAGGCAGCCAAGCGCAAGCCGTCATTGGATGAAATCGATTGGAAACAAACGCACGGGGGGCACGTTTAGGGGGTAAACAAGCGCACGAGGTGCACAAGGAGCAGGCGCACTTGCACGCTGTATACACCAAACTTGCTACTCAGCGAATGCGCTGTTGAGAGAAGGTACTGCTGTTCTTAGGCTGGCTCGACGTATACATAAGTATACAACTATGCATAAACGTGCATATAATTAGAAAAGAAAACGAAGAAAACTTTGATTCAAGGTTTATAACCTGCCGCCTTCTAAGCTAAAAATTTCTTTTAATAATGAAGTTAGTAAACAGGCGAGCTGGTTTTGGTTGCACATCGTTAATGCCGGAGACGACGGAAAGCATGGGGACAGGACATTGTTTTCGTCTTTTCCGGTCTTAACCATGTGGTTCCCCTTGATGTCGTGTTGTAATCACAAACTCAAACGAAAAAAAGCCACATTACATGGATTGTTTTTCTCACACGACATATTTGTTTTCATGACGAACGTCCGCTACGAGCGTGGCTAAGAGGAAATTTAAGCGCATTATATTGACACTCGAATAAATCGCTCTCAGTCGTTTTATGTGAGAACAAAGCCAATTTTCTTAATGCATTAAACAACTTCCGATTTCACTGATAAATTAGATGCCGACAAGCGTCAAAGAGATGCAGGAAACTCAATTATTCAAGTTTGATTGAGCAAAAACAAAACTATTCATTGCAACATTTCTGTAAACAGGAAAGGACTACACCATGTAAATAAAATAACACAAGTAAACCGACGCGTTTTTTTAGTTTAATTTAATTAGACCAAGTTCAAATTATCAGGGAAAGCATTGGGCGTTATCTTATATTTTAGTGGCTGCTTTCCAAAGGAACTTAACACTTTGATATTCATTATGAGTATTATTTCTCTTCATTTTAATTAGCTATCAATCTCAGGTCCAAATGAGCACCGGTAGTCGATTAAAATCTCTTAAAAACCAAGCCCTTCCAACATCCATGTTGTGGATAGAATTCTAGATTCTGTCCCCGAGATAGAATGCACAAACTGAAAGTATTTAGGTTACTGGAATGACTTACGATTTCTGTAAATGTAGTCAAAACACGGTTATATTTTATAATAAATTCACAACGAAATTCTCTTAAAAATTCCATTGAGATTAAAATTATGTTAACAGAAGCTCGGGTTAAAGATTACATCTTCACATTACCACTACGTGTTCTCACTCCCTCGAAAATGTAATAAATGCTCTGCGAAATGAATTGGACACAGCTTTTGGATAGCAATGGCAGGACACATCGACGTCATCGAACAATTTTCAAAACGATCAGCACAACATATATGTGTAAGAATGTGGCTATATAGATAATCTAATTGCAGTGTTATTTATGCAACTGTAATATAAAAAAAATTCGAATTAATTTTAGGCGTCATGTAAAAATTGCCAGAAGGAAAACAAAGCAAAACGTGTCATAGAGTGCCATTGTGAAATATATGTATTTAAATAAAACACACCGTCAGATATATTGGGATAATTTTTCCGAGGTTGTTCAGATATCATTACTCGCACAACCATGAGAGATACCAAAATTGTTTATAAAAGAAATATACTACGCTTCATGGAACGTCAAGCATGTAATATCATTATAGGCATAAAATGCAACGTCTAAACGTCAGAAGATCTTTCAGCATGTTTCGTAAAAATTTATCGATGAACTGATACTTTCGCACGGAAAAAATTTTAGGAAAAGAAGCACTGCGAAATATACCCAATTTCACAACATAGCGGACAAAGCTACAACAGTATAAAGATACTATTTACGGCCAACCCCAGTCGTAAACGCGCTAATGCGATTATCCCATCACACTCAATTTTTACGCTGTTTGAATATTTTGGTGGTAAAGCACTTTCTATGGTATGAGAAATGCGTGATCAACATAATAAATGTTCAAATATTCTTCTCAGGAACGAATGTTCAGTTTTCCTTCCGAAAGCACATGATACGCCTAAGTTTTTCCTGATGACACAGATTGAGCATACTTAATGACAAGTAAACTAAGGAAAACAAACCACAACAATATATAAGAAACATGCGCCATCATGCTCAAATGCAAATTTACAGATGTGTTCAAGAACAATTAAACCCGAATATCGCGAATTCACACGTAAGTCGGGATTTAATAAATTCAAGCGGCTTTCTGGTTTACAAGATATTATTTACAAATTGACTGCTGCATTCGAATAAGATTTAACTAAATTAAATTTTAGTCAATTGAAAAGAAACTAACCGCCATAAACGATGAAACAACGGCCACTCGCAAGTTAATTCAACGTAATAACAGCTTGTGTTTTCTGGAAAGTGAGAGTCATCACAATAAGATGCACAAAACTACTTATGCTGACTCTGGCACGTTCCACAGAGGCTAAAAATATCTACCACTACCACGAAATAAAATCACGTGATCTAGAATCAGAGAGACACACACCTATATTAGAGACCTCCATTTCGACCGTCGCTTCTAGTTCTTTTCATACTTAGATTACGTCTCTTACAAGCACCGAGGTCGAGGAAAACAAGTCGTGACACGACGGGAGCCCCAAATTCATCGCCCCAGCGCGCGCTCGAAACCCGTTCATGCATGTCGAAGAAACAACAATCGCCGCGCATATTTACCCAACACGCCAAGACCTTCCGCTGAACCCGAGGGAGCCAGATGCGGCAAACGTGGATGCACGCACACAATGGACAATTGAAAACTGCTTTCAAAGCCGGGTGCCATGAGGCCCTTCGCCCACGCCAGGCGCCTGAACCTAACCTTCCTAAACACTGCACTGACAAAGCCGACAACTGTGTGCGCAAATGTGAAATCCTCGGACCCCGCCCCTACTATCCCTCGTTATGTTTTTTTTTTTTTCTCTCACGACCCAGCTCAAGCCCGTGGAAGTCACCTGAGAGGGGGAAAGGCAACAGTTCCTGGAAAGCCCGGAGACGAAGCGCCTCTGGTTGGACAATCCAGCGTCCCCTCAGCTCGGCAGGGCTCCAGAGGGCACCAGCTTTGGAAGACATCGAAGTGTGGGTGCGTGATGCGAGCGCCGCCGGCCTCCCGCTACTCTCCCTGGCTACAGATCCCAAACTGAACCACGGAAGAAAAACTGACCTCTGTCTTCGACTACACTCTGGTATCCCAGAACTTCCTATTCTTTTTGCCATCCCTCTTTTTTTGATAAAAAAACAACAAAAAAATGAGAGTTTTTTTATATATATATATCTTGGAGCGCAACCAAGATCTGTGTACAAAAAAGGCGAGAGATACTAGTGGAAGCACGGTTGGCAGCACCACGTGCATGCACTCAAGGGACAGGGAATATTTCATCGGGTGACGTTTTCACCGGCGGTGTTCTTCGTCTCGGGGTGCGCAAAAAGGAAATCGACAGCGATTTATGGCTCGCGGACGTTATTCGTTAGGCCTCAGGGATGTTCCTTCTAGACATACAACATACACAAAATAAGAAAGGGAAACAGGGCTTGAGAGAGGAGGAGGACGACTGCGAGCAGACCTAAGGCACCGCAGTATGACTGTGAGCGAGCAACAGCAGCTACATGTCCCTATCTTGAAAAAAAAAAAGAAGGATCATTGACATGCAGGCGATTGGCCAATCCGTGAGCCCGGTTGTGGCCGCCTAAACGCTATTGGTTAGCGCGTTCTTGGAAGGAGACCTGCCTCACCAAGAGCCAACCGAAACAAACGAATTTCTTCTTCGTGTTTCTTTGCTGCGCATGACCACGGAAGGGAACAAAGAAAATAACGGGAAACCTGGAGCGTCTCGCTTGATCCACTAAGTCTATAAGTAGCACAAATTGTTTAACCAAATTGGGAAGCTGCTTAAGAGGCGACCGATTAACACCGATACGGAGCAACGTAGGTACCAGGTATACGACTTATAAGGCGGAAACAAAACTTCCGAAGGAACGATTACACGGAAGTACAAAAGTCCCCAAAGCACGAAGCATATATATACGAAGAGCATGGATATATACCGAATAAACCTAAAATAAAAAAAAAGAACAGGGGCATGAAAATGAAGACGTAGGTATATAAAACCTAAATCCCTCTACGCGTGAAATTTATCGTGCGGTGCCTTTAGCTCCCGAATTTACATTCTAGCACGATCTCGTCCTTTCTCCACCGGCAGTGCCCAAAGGCTACGCACGCACATTGCCCGGGCACTGCGCCGCTGCTGGCGCACGCTGGCTTCAGGGGGCCGATTTGCATATATGAAAATAGCAGGAACGAGCGCCCGGCATCGTATATACGCCGCCGGCAGCATCGGGGCACCAAACTCCCCAGACGCGCTTTTTCAAAGAAAACAAAAAAACCTTTGGGCATGGGCGTCGTCGCTACGGCCACGAGGCATCGCTGAGACAACGGCGCGCTCCGATATGATACCATTTCCATTCCATCGCGGTAGACATGCTTATTG